CTTCGGAGACACTGCAAGACAGAAATGCATGCTTCCTGCCCTAGACTTCCACAGCCCATGTCTTATTTTGTTCATTTATTCATCAAATAAGCACTGCAGACCTACTATGTACCAGCTCTGAGGCCCCAGAGAGCAGCGCAGGCTTGCTTATCTGCGGGAACCAACAGCCGTGAGAACTGGTGCACCAGACAAGTTCAGACACCAAACAGCAATTCCAAAGCATGGAAGTGCCACGAGAGGATGGAAACGGACTGTGGGCACATGCAGTGGCGAACGCCAGACACCCACCCCTCTCCCAGGCTGGTCGGAGTGGCCTGGATCAGCTGTGTACATGTCAGGCTTCCTGATTATGATATTTTAATCCCATCTGCATCTCTCGTACCTCAGCCCAGGGCCTGACACAGAGAAGACACGCATTTGAAATTTTATGTCAAGAAAGATACCCATTTTTATCGAACACCTACTGTGTCTTAGGCTCTGTTCCAAGTGTTGGAAATACAATGGGAACAGCCCAAATCTCTGCCTTCATGAGGCTTACAGTCCAGTGGGACTAGAATATAATTGCGCGAGTCCTTTACATTGCTAATTAGTTAAATCACATGCCAAGAAGACATAGGCTGGGAGCTGGGAGTGAAGAGGTAACAGAATGTAGCGAAACTAAATACACGGACCAAGCAGGATTCCTGGCTTTCCCTGCCTCCCTGTGCCACCGTCCCCACGCACTCCCGCCACCCACACACACACCCCAACCTGCTCTGGCCTCAGAGTTGCCCATCTCAGTAACAGACATTAATAGTCATCAATTTCTTCCCAAATACCCCTGATTACCTCACTTGTCCCCATCCCATTGCTACCGTGCTGGTCCAAGAGCTCAGCAGCAATTGCCTCACTGTCTCCCACCCCACAGAGCTGGTTCCCACCTTCCATATCCCACCAGCTTCTTCCAGATTGCTGCTTATCCTGCAGCCTCCCCTCCATGGCCTCCAGGTTCTTGGCCTAAAACATTTGCTCTCTTTGTCTTAGGATCAGCCACGCTTAGTATTTTTCCCTCTGAAACTGACCAACCATCTTTCTCATACTTCCAAACCTTGGCACAAACTACTCTCCCAGCCTGAAATGTTCCTCTTCTCAGCTTCCCTTCTACCCTCTACCCACTCCCAGCTTGGCCTAGGCACCTCTTTCTCATTCCTGCACCTCAGTTTAAATATCCTGTCCTCAGGGAAGATGTCCCTCAGCCCCTAAGGTTGAGTTTGGTCTCCCTGCCCTGCGGCCCCACAGTAGACTTTGCATTACATTCTTTACCTCAATGGGGTCATTCTTCACCTATCTACTCCTCCTGCTTGTCTGTAGGTTCTTGGAGGCAGGAACTATGTCTGTCCAGCTCACCATCAGCAGGAATTAGCATGGTACCTCACACACAGTAAGTGCTCAGTTCTTTGAATGAATAAACTTTGGCCTTGTAGTGAGTAACACTTGAAGAGTGCAAAGTGTTCAAATATCTGCTGTGACATTTACTTGAAATATGACCTTGCAACTTGATAGATGACCTCTCTGAGCCTCTGTTTACTCTCCCTATAGGAAAAGTTATAAATGTGCATTTGCAGGATGGTTGGCGAGTTATGTGTGAGAATCTGCGTGAAAAGGCCTGGCTCCTAGGAGTTACTCCACGAATGCTTGCTAAATCTGTGAATGAGAAGCAAATAGTCTTGGTACAATACCCTTACTCAGAAAGCTCCTATCTTGAGTCAAAACACAGCAGTTAAGGCAGAGGCTCTCAAGCCAGGCTGCTGGACCAGACTCCCAGTTCTGCCACTTACTGTCTGAGCAACCTTATGCCAGATACTTAAACCATTATGTGACTCAGTTTCCTCATCTGTAAAATGAGAATAATGATGGCACCCACCTCAAAGGATCATTGTGGGATTCAGCTTAGGTCTGTGCCTGGCACACAGCAAATGCCCAACAAATGTTAGCTGTTCTCATTGCTATTAATGTGTACCACTGACAACCATACCATAATGCTCACATCCATGGTCCTCCTGGAGAGATGAAGAGACAAATTTCCAGAGAGGTTAAATGACTGGCCAAGGTCAAACGTGAGGAAATGGCAGCCTTGTGCTTCAAGGCCAGGTCTGCTGCGCCCAAATCCCATGTTATTTTCACTGCATCAAAGAAGCAGCTCAAAATAGGCCTGTGGCATTTCAGCTAATTTCCTCTAAGCCCTTCCCAAGTAACCAACTGCAGGCATACAAAGCTGCTCCCCTAAGAGCATCCATTTAGCAGCTACTAAGTACCAAGTGTGCCTGGTGCGTCCCAACCACCTAACAGGGCTTGCACCAAGCCAGCTCTTCCCAGGTAGCCTTGCCCGGTCAGCAGAAGGGACCTAAGGAGAAGAACTAGATTGGGGAGGGGAGGGGGGCTGGTACATGAACCACATGGAAGAAGAATCTGGAGGCCAGGTGCTGTGGCTCACGCCTCTAATCCCAGCACTTTGGGAGTCCAAGGCGGGCTCACTGAGGTCAGGACTCCAAGACCAGCCTGGCCAAAATGGTGAAACCCTGTTTCTACTAAAAATATAAAAAATTAGCCAGGCATCATGGCGGGCACCTGTAATTTCAGTTACTTGGGAGGCTGAGACAGGAGAATCACTTGAACCCAGGAGGCAGAGGTTGCAGTAAGCCAAGATCACACCACTGCACTCCAGCCTGGGCGACAGAGGGAGACACCATCTCAAAGAAGAAGAAGAAGGAAAAAGAGGAGGCGGAGGAGGAGGAGGCGAAGGAGAAGGAGAGGAGGAGGAGGAGGAAGCTGGAGAGCAATTTGGATGTAAAAGAGGGGAGGAGAAATAAAAGAAAACCCACACTTGTTGAGTACCTACTATGTGTCAGGCACTTCGCATCTACCATTTAACCCTTACTGTGATCACTGCAGACATTGTTCATCAAATATCTACTGTGCATAAAGCTATACTCCAGGTCCCAATGATATAACAGTGAACAAGAAATAGCTGTTGACCTCAAAGAGCTTTCAAGTCAGTGAAGAAGACAACATATACAAAATAATGTGCTATACAGGTGATGGTGGAGGTCTGAATAGGGTGAGTGACTTGGCAGTGAAAAGCAGAGAGTAGCTGGAAAGAACTTCAGAAAGGAGCAGGTAGGGACTAAAGTGCCCATTTAACAAATGATAAAACTGAGGCTCTAGGAACTTAACTTGTTTGCAGCCATGCCCTTACTGAGTAGCAGAGTCGGGCCGTGCCCCAGGCCCATTCTGTCTCCAGTAGTCTCTGCTCTGTCGGTGCTGGCAGGCTAAAAGCTGTTGCTTTCGTCCCCCACCCTTCTTTCTTTTCTCAATGATCATCTGGCCAGAAGATTAATCAAATGCTGCTAAAGCTGCAGCTGCTGTCAGTGGCTAAGATCTTAGCAGATTCTGTGGAGAAACAGAAGTTTCTGAGCTTCTGCACTGATTTCTTTTGAGCAAAACATTCAAGGGTTGGTCTAAAAGAAGGAGGGAGAGGAGAAGAAGGGCTCTATCTGCAGTCCAAAGGGACTTTTTGGACAGGTCAAAGACAACCAAGGTGACAGCAATAAGTGAAGGCAAGCCTCTTTGGCTCATGTGACTACCCTCAAGCTTCTCTCCACTCCCCGAAAAAGGCCTAGCCTAAGAGGACTTGGTGTTTGCCCCTCACCTTTTCTTCAAGGACAGAAGCCATGAAAATCAGCCACCTGAGCCACTGGCTGGACTGCTAGATTCCCTGCTATATGGGATCAGCAGATCAGCTTCTCCCCATTCCAGTTCCTATCCCCATCCTCAAAGGACAAGAAATCAAAGTGAAGAAGTCTTCAGCCTGCAAATACAGCTCTTGATGTACCCTAAAGGTACTTTAGCAGAAGTTGCAGAAACCTTGGTTCTGCTCTCCAGACACCAGGACCCTCTCCCAGACACCAGAAGCACAGCAATTGCCCCTCACAGAAGCCTTTCTCTTCTAAGAAAAGAACAGAGTGGGAGAAAGGAAGTTCTGTGCTGGGTGGGGAAACAGGTAGTTTTTCTATGTCAAGAAAAATGCACTGGTCGTACCTGCAGACCAACTCTGAGCTGAGAGCAGGAGGTTAGGCAATGGACTTTACACCAAAGAAAGACTGTTTTTAATTCATCTTTAACATACTCTCTGATAATCACCAGATCACTGAGAAATTTTCAAGCAAATAATGTCAAGGGGAAAAAGTAGAGGGAGAAAGAAGAAACTTGAATAATTGAGTTATGGGATTGAAGCATCTCAACTTCCCCCACCTCAAGTGACCCATCAGACTCACACGCTCTCCAGGGTCCCCCCAACACACACATGCACACACACAAAATATCAAAAACACGCATGCACATCATGCCTCATGTGCACTCACTCACTTAACTATAAAACTGATCAGAGAAAAAATGTAATCTGTAGCAGCGGCAATTAATGTGCTTCTTTCTACCAGAGGTCACATTAAGGAAAAGTTGCACATAGAAAAATGAGAGGTGACACTGTAATTAAGCCACAGACAATGATTCTTCTGAGAAAGAGGGGAGGGTTTCGGTGTTCCAGTGTTCATAGAAGGAAGATTTTTTATCTCTTCCAAACCAGTCTATGAATGACATAGGAAACTCAGAAGGATTCACATTTCACCCACTTTCCCTGAGAACATGTTTATCCTTGAAATGAAAATCATTGCCCAAGCCCCAGCTACGAGTCGCCCTGTTGCACCCTTTTCCATGAATAATCTTCCCAAAATGTCTGCTTGTAGAAGCAAGATTTGGAATTTCACGGAAAACTACAGAGAGACACAGACAGAGCTATGCACACCCCCTGGTAGCCAGAGAGAGACAAAGAGAGAAGAGAGGAAAACCGAAAGAAGATCCATCTAACGGACCGACAAAATAAAACAAATCCCCAGAAAAGCAAAATGAACACGATTATTTAAACACACACACACACACACACACAAAGACATGTTTGTAATTACCCGTCCAGATTACATTCTCACCGCTTCCAGGCAGAGAAACGGCTGGTTGAAGTTTTGTGCCCATCTGACTGAGAGGGGAGGGTTGTATTTGAAGCTCTGGGCACGTAGAGATGGAATGAGAAGGAGGCTGAGCTGGAAGAAACACCAAGTTGGGGGAAGGGGAGAGAGAGAGAGATTGTGTGTGTGTGTGTGTGTGTGTGTGTGTGTGTGTGAGAGAGAGAGAGAGAGAGAGAGAGAGAGAGAGAGAGAGAGAGAGAGAGAGAGAGAGAGAGAGGGAAAGAGAGAGAGAGGGAGAGGGAGGGGGGAGAGGGAGAGGGAGAGAGGAAGAGGGAGCGGGAGCGGGAGCAAGCTATCTCTAGCTACGCCTTCCTCTAAGCTCCGGGAGCCCAGGAGAGCGCTCATTTTAGGATTTGGGAGAGGGGTAAAAAGAGGAAAGGCGGCCCCCGCTCTGCGCTGGCCGTGCTGCCCCGGGGAGGGAGGACTCTGGCCCGCGCCCCCCTCCTGGCGGGCGGCCCTGGGAGCCGGCGAGCGCGCGGAGCGGGAGGCGCAGGGAGCTGTCCGGTTCAGCACCACCCGTAATGCAGTAGGTGGGAGCGCCTCCGCGGGGGCCCAGCCGGCAGCGAGTGGGGGGCAGGCGCGCGGCCCACCCTGCAGCAAGACGCCGGCTCCCTCGTTTCCAGGAGCTTTGCAGAGAGGGGGAGGGAAACCCGCCTCGATTCTCCGGGAGAAACCCCCTCTCTCCCCCACTTCGCCAATACTACCCCCGACACCAACAACAATAACCGCCGCCGCTGCTCGTCCTGCCGCCGCCGCCGCCGCCGCCGCCGCTGCACCTGCCCGCCCTGCCGCCGCCGCCGCCGCTGCCCGGGCAAAACCATGGAAGGCGAGACCCCCGCACCTGTGCAGCTGAGCTCAAGGGCTTACAGAATACTGGGAAGTCTGGTCTGAAACGAAAGCGCCGAGACCCCCCAAGGAAGAGAACTGGCGAAGCAAAGGATTTTCATGGCGCAGGCCGCAGAGCGGAGAACGAAGACCGAAGGTTGCATCTCGGCTCTTACAATCTCTAACTGTCTAGGTCCCGACCATGAGAAATGGTGTTGAGAATTCGGCTGCTCCCTGGTTCACTGTGGAAGCCATCTCCAAATTAGCTATCACATATGGAAACTGGAGACCAGAATTTTAGGAAAAGAAATTAAGGCATCTCACTTGGGGGGGTGGGGGGTGTCTTTTATTTATTTTTCTTTTTTTTTTTTTTTTTTAATCACTGCAACTGGAACAGTTTCTGATCTCAAAAGGCAAGCCTCTTCCCGTGTGATCTTTATAATTTACACTCTTTTCCGTGAGCTTTCTTACCTCCCTTTTTTTATAACTCTCCATATTCTCTATTCATACATATATCCATTATATTAGTAGTGGAATAATTTTTATTTTTATTTATTATTTTTTTTCTTGCTTTAGTACTTGCACCCTCACACACACTCTCCCGAGAACCAGAAGTCGGTTGGGTGTTTATATAATGAAGAATTATGGGGCTGTTTGATCGAGGTGTTCAAATGCTTTTAACCACCGTTGGTGCTTTCGCTGCCTTCAGCCTGATGACCATAGCTGTGGGAACCGACTATTGGCTGTACTCCAGAGGGGTTTGCAAGACCAAAAGTGTCAGTGAGAATGAAACCAGCAAAAAGAACGAGGAAGTTATGACCCATTCCGGATTATGGAGAACCTGCTGCCTAGAAGGTATTTGACTTCCCATCTCCTCCCCCCTCTCCACTCCACCCCTCCCCTCTCGCTCCCCCCTCCCCCCTCCTCCAAATAAGTCCCCTTTACATTCCACCATTTTCTTAGTTCACTCCTTCCACCACTGATCAAGGTTGGTTGGGTTAGTTTCAGAGGAAAGAAAATCAATAAGCAAAACCCATACTCTACTCCCTCGCCTCTGCCATCCCTCCTTCCCCTCAAATATCCTTATTGGAATAATCTATGACATGGTGAAAACGACAAGAGATTGTCTTTAAAAGTCAAAGGTGTTCTGCCTGCTTTGGAGTCATTAGGATTTACCATCTGATTTAGCATTGCCATCTATGAGAGGGGAAAATAATTGCTTCTGTCTGTGCTGTTTCTCTTTTCGCAATGAAGAATTCAAAAATGCTCTTCGCATTTCCCTCTTCTTCCCTTTACTCCCCAAAAGTCCTAGACGCATCACCATCTGCAAACCTCCTTATTTAAAAAGGAATCTCTTGTTTCTAAGAATCCTTATTTGGAAAATCCTAATTATTCCAGGATCTCAAGCTGAGTTCAAGAGCATTTCATAATGTCTATGAGCCACACATATCGTTTGAGGTGCCTGGCTGTGTGTGTGTGTATTTGTGTGTTTTAACGTTTACACAGTCTAAAAATACATACGTCTCTCACAGGAAGCAAGTCCAAGTTCTAATAAACAGCAATTCACTTGTGGTTTAGGCTGCCACAGAGTGACATGTCTGTTAGCCAGAAGCTAGTAGAGTCAGCACTGCAGCCGGCTTGAGAATCAGACATTGTGCAGGCAGGGAGGGAGGGAGAGAGGGAAGCGAGGGCATGGGGAGGTTGAGGGGGGAGTGGGGGTGTCAGCTGTTTGCCTTGATCTTGTGGGGTGTTGAGCATGTGTGTCTGTGCCATGGGCGAAGGGGCCCCCGCGGTGTAAAGGCTGGGGGATCAGGCTATGAATGAAGGCATGTACTTCTGGGGCACATTAATAAGCACAGAAAAAAACTCCTGCGGGTCATCCAACCTGCATTTGGCAACAGACTTTAATATGAGGGACTGCATTTGAATGGTTATATATGTCTGTGTGTGCAGGCTACGGCCACCCATAGAAAGACGTGCACAGAAAGATACATATGCCTCCATGTGGAAAAAAAAAAAAGCCTTATGTGCTTTGCTTCTGATATGAACCAATACTGGAGGCCGTTTGAGGCAGCGTCGGGAAGCAGGGACTGCAGGATTGTTTGTTAAGCTCAACATGGGATGGTGATGCAGAGAGTTGAGACCAGGAGATGGGGGAGAAGAGAAGGAAATGGATGGGTGAGGGAGAAACTGATGTGGCCCCAGGGTCTAACCCAAACTGAGCCAAAGCCACTCTTTGGGAAATGGTTACATCTGGGAAAGAACACAAATCCCATGCCCCCTTCCCAACATTCTTGGTGCAAACGGTTGAGTGATGGCTGAACATGTTTTGAATAGCTAAGTGACTTCATTGAGCGATGGTCTGTTTGACGCATACTGCATTTGGTGCCCTTTCTCAATCCAAACCGCTGCCTTTAACATATTCTGCAGAGGAGCTCTATGCTGAATACTATATGCTCTTCCCCAGCCAGAGAATCAATATCAGGAAATTAATAGGGACTGTTTTAAACACACGCGTGCGCGCACACACACACACACACACACACACACACACCCTCCTTAAAAAAATGAAAAGCCTTTCATATAGTTAGTCATTAACAGTGGAAAGACTTCCATTTAATTAAACATTTATGACAGACTTTTATTCCAAAAGAGAAGAAAAGCAAAGTGAATGAGGACCACTTTAGGGAAATGATCGTAAGTGGCAATTTGCCTTCCTTGGATTTTAGTTAGATGGATGGAGGGAGGTAGGTAGCCAAGAGACTAGAGGAGAGACAAGACATTGTTTTAGGGTAAATACGCCCAGAAATGGGTGGGTTGACATAAATACACTTTTCTAAATCTGGGTTTTATTTCCAAATTCTTAATATTGTGATCGTTAAAACATTGTATAATTCCCAGAAGGCAAACAGACTAGAGATAGCTTTGTATCACTCGTGCAATAAAAAGGCTTAAGTATTTTCATTAAAATTCCATCTGTTTGATGTCCACATCCCCAAATGTGCTGCCCACCCTCTTTAACTTTCTCTCCAAGCTACACACTTCCTCTCTCCCTGAGTCCTCTGTAAAGGGTTGGAACTGGAACCCTTCCCAAGGATTGTGTGATGCTCGCAGGCACTGTGGGTTTGGCCACTCTCCCCAGTGGGGCCACACTGACCCCAGGCATTACCATGGAGCCCCACCAGACTCTCCTCAGGGATGATACTGGCTTTCTACTTGTAGCCATGGCCGGGGCAGGAAGGGTGGAGCTCCAGGCCCCATTTCGATCTGGCCTTTAATTTCCAAAGCCTCTGTCAATATGGAACTTCACAGGCCTGGGACCACCTTAGGAAGCTGGGCCTTGGCCACTTAGGAAGTGGTTTGGAGATTGTAAGCCTCTTATTTTCAAAGACAGCACTGATTTCCAAAGGCTGGTAAGTTGGGCTGTTTTTGAAAGTTGGCGTAGACAGTCCTTGGGGGCTGTCCCTGTGCTTGCTTTTATGAGCACTCAGAATGGGGTCAGTGTCTATGGAGATCAAGCTGTTAGTTGTTGGGTTCCCCCAACTTGTGTTTTTTGTGTGTGTAAAATTGGACTTTCAAAAAAGATTTCCCACCCCCTCAACCCAGCCCATGACCACTTGATCTGTGTTTTCTGCCCATTCCAGAGAAGTTGCAAACAAATTTCACGTCTTCTTTCTAAGATGCCGCTGACGACTCCAGATGAAAAACAACCCTGTCTTCGTCTGATCTCTTTTGCTCTCTGGTTTTCATTAGGGCTTTTTGTCTCCCGAGGTGATTATTTTCATTCACCTCTTGATGAAAATCAGAACAGAAAAGAAAATGTCCTTGCCTGTGAGGCTGCTTTTGAAATTAACTAGTCTACTGAAGAATGAGAAGTGACATGACCACCTGTTAGGGACAGGCCCGGGGGAGAGGGAGAGGGGTCAAGAAAAACACCACCACCCTTACTTTCTCCCTCTGCAGACTGAAAAGTCTCTGCATGTGAACTTGAACTCCCTAGCAGGCTGGTGTCCTTAGGGGCATTCAAGGAGCGTGGGTGGGAGAAGACAGTGGGCATGTGGATACAGTGGTAGGTGGAGAGTGATAGAAGTCCGTGAACTTTTCAGGAAAGCTGAATTAAGAGTCTCTGCATGGAGAGATGAATTCGCCCTTTCAGAGACGAGTTCAATGAAATCTACAAGGCATTAAAACAGCTTGGTCAAGCAAGGTGTCTCTGGGCCGCCCAGTGGCTTGCTGCTCAGGATACTAACCTCTGTTGTCACCTAAAGAAAACATTGTCTCTGGGGGCAGCAAGAAATTCACTCTTGGTGTTTATTCTCTCCCGTGACTTCCTCCCCTCTGTCCTGGCTCTGTGCCTTCCCCAGAGGATTTCTAGCCCTGCAGAGGCGGAGCCCACGGCAGGCACAATGTGCTTTACAGAGGAAGCAAACTCCG